GGGAGAGAGGGCGCCGAGGGGGGTCCGGTCCGGCCCCGCTCCGCTGGTCGCGGCCCTTGGCCTCCCGCCGGGCCTCCGGCCGGGCCCAGGCCTGCCTGCCTGCCTTAGTGAGGGGTTACGCGTGGCGGAGGCCGGAGACCCCTCCTCTCCCGCTGCCCCAGAGCTGGTTAAAAGCACGGTGGCGGTTAAACCGTGTCACCGGCCAGGGGGGCTCTGTGGCGGCGCGGGGCCGGTGGCTGCAAGGTTGGTTGGGGACGGCCTGTGTGAGCTGGAGCTCCCGGACCCCGGGGTTGCAGAGCCCGCCCTTCTCCGGTGTCGCCCTCCGGCCGGGCGGTAATAGTACTCTGGCTTGGGACTCACTTTCACTTTTCTCTGAAGCTGTATGCTTTAAAATAAAAGCCTATTTGGAAACAGGTTTAGACCATTGACAGGTAGTTATGCAAATGTAAAAATGAACCATCAGGGGAAGAAGAGCATCGGCTTTTGCAGCACTGTTTTGAAATTTCAACTTTGGAGGAAGAATCAAAGGAAAAGTTGGCACCGTTTTGGATCCGCTGCCTTTAGAAACTGTTTTGTTAATGAATACTGTCAAAGTCAGTAGCTCTTACAACTAATGCAATAAAAAAGAACATATTAACATATTAGGAAAAAACATTTAACTTAAGATTGATAAGTGGTTATATAATGATTGAGGTTGAAACAACCATGATCTGATGTTTCCTTTAAGGCTAAATCATTCTGTGATGTAACATACTTTTGAAGTCGTAGAACTCTTCCTGGACAGGTGTAGAAAGAAAGTAGCAATAAAAGTACTGTTTGTTTGAAAAGATATAGTGGAATATTCATGTAGTATAATACTGTGATTTAGTAGCTCTTTTTTTTTTTTCCTGTGGCATGGCAGCTGCAGACTACTTAAGCAACTTAAACAGCCAGTATTACTGTTATCATTGCCTTCTTGAGATTATCTTTAGGAATTTGTTTTGCAATCTGTTTTGATGTTGCTTATGTAAAGCTGTTGAAAGTAGGAGAAAAGTGAAATACTAATACATTATTTCACTGTATTCAAAAAGCATTGAGAAAGGTGTATTGTGTTCAGCGTGCATTAAGTAGTATGTTTGCAATGGCATGTTCTCTCAAGGGTTTAGGTCATAGTTTGCAGTAAATCTGTACAAGTTGCAAGGCGACAGTAGGGAACAGATTTATAATAATGTGTTTTCCTTGAATTTTTCACTGGTCCTTATTAAAATTAGCACAAGTAGTGTTATTTTTTTTCTATTTTGGAAAGAAAGTGGATTGAAATGGTCTTGGCAACAGGTGAATGGTTTGGTACTGCTTCAGTGCAGGTGGATTTAACTCCCTTTTTCTTACTTTTTTCAGGACGAGGATTTGCATTTCGCAGAAAACAAAAGATAGAAAGACAATATAGGAGACTACTGAAAAAAGGAAGAAAGGTCCATTCACAACAGGATAATCAGTTTACTGATACTTATCCAGAGCACTTGAAACATCTTTACCTAGCCGAGGAAGAAAAAATGCTTAAGAAACGGCGCAGGCCTCCAGATGATTCAGTTTTGTCAGAAGAAAAACTTAATAAAGCAGTAGAGTAAGTTTTTTTTTTTAAATAAGTCTCTAAAAACAAGTAATTGTTTCCATCATTAAAGAAATATTTTAGATTGTACCCTTTACACGGAATTCAGTATGGTGATTTGTTTTACTAAAGAAATGCCATTACATCTTAAATGTTTTTCCGAATTGTTAGAAGATTTAAACACACAGCTTTGCTATGTTTGCATCAGAATCGGAAAGCAAAATTGTTGCTTTTTTTGTTGATGTTTAGGGCTTGATTCCACAGAAATAACGTGGCAGTTAGCATTGTACTTTAAAGTTCAGCCCAAGACCAGTAAGTGTGTGGCCAATGTCTTACCGCATCTACAAAGATAAGAGGCTGCTTTTCAGGTAGTGTGATTTTGAGTCTACAGAGTTTTCCTTGGAATTGATTCAGTATTTTTAAATCAGTGTCAATTTTCGGAAATATTTTTCTGTTCCCAGTTTGATAAGTTTTCTTCTTCATGTTACACTGTTTTTCTGCTAGAAAGAGCAATATTGTGTGCTGTTATCCTTTTGTGGTATGGCTAGTTTTGGGGGAATTTTAACTATGAACTTTATAAAAAAAAAAAAAGGAGTATTTAGTAAAATCTTAAGGTGACAAAGTATTCTTGATCAAGTACTAATTGTAAATAACAGAGATGTCGCAATAGTTTGCCAGCGGTGGTTGGGGTTTTTTTGTGTTTTGCTTTAAGTTTACTTACAATAACTGGGAGAAGTCAAATAGAGTTTCTCACTTGCTCTCTAACAAATGTCAGACAACGTAAACAGTTTTTTCACTGTGTGACAGTAATTCCCCTTAAATCTTGGTTAGGTATGTCAGTAAAAGGAAAAGTGTAGTCATTCAGGTCTAGCGTTTTTAAACAGCATTCAAGTACGGTGATTGAGATAATGCCCTTTTGTCCTCAGTGCAAGGAGTGTCGCAAGTGTATCTTATTCCAAGGCGTATCTACATCTGAACTTTGCTGGGTATAGTGCTTGGGAGAGGGGGTGAAAGACAATCAGATCTGAGCCCAGCAGTGGGAGAAAGGTAGAATTTTGTCTGGAATAGGCAGTTAATTCGTGGGGATGTCTGAAATAGGACTGATGTTTTTCTTTAAACGAGAGGGGGTTTTAATTTTGCTTAAACTATGGTCATTGTGATTGTAAACCAGAATTAATGACTCTGAAAAAATGTGACTGCTTATCTATAAGGTGGTGTGATGCATAGAGTCTATTAGATAGACTTCAGTGTTCTATGGGAATGTAAAATAAGACTTTGGTTAGGTAATTCTATTTTTAGCATATATTGCAATTTAAGTAGTTTTGTACTAGAAACGATGAGGTGTCATTACACGGTATTGCCACAAGATGGAGATAAGACTAAAGGAAAGACTATTTATTTATTTATTTAACAGAAGAGAGTGGTGGTATTTCTAAGTGAAAGTATGAGCAAATACGTTCTCTTTCCTTTTTGGTCGTCTTTCTGAAATCTCGTAGATGGTGATGGCTAGCTTTCAAGTTTTTGTAGTGTGAGTAATAGAGTAATCAAAAACTTTGTTACGTTGTTAAAAGGCTTATATTTTTCAAGTGTGTAATGTCTTTACTACCACACTATTTATGTAATGGCTTTATTGTGAATCAGAAAACAAAATAATTTGGAACTAAATGACCAGAAAGATCCACTCAAAGTAGTATGACAGTAAATACCAGGCAAATGGCACTGGTTTTCTTGTACTCTTTTCTTTGGTGAAAGATACTTGGGCAGTTTTTTGTATTGAAATTTGAAGGAACATAACTTCAGTTCCTAACTTCAGAACATTAAGGACAGTAATATACCAATTTCTTCCAGACTAAACTTTTAGAAAGGCATTGTTACTACTGTGCGTTTTCACCTTGCCATGTCAGCCTGACTTCTCTGGCAGGCAGTCTGCTGACAGCTGGCTCTCCTCGTATCTCTGCAGTTGCATCCATATGTCGGAACTAGAAAAAGATAATTCAGCTCTAAGCTAGTGCATTCAGTTTTTCTAGCTCAAGAGCTTTTATGATGGGGGAAAAAAAAACCCTCTTTTAAGCACTCTTTAAACTTCATGAAACATCATCCATGTGAAGACCCATCAGATAAGGCATATGTTTTACTAAAAGCTGTGTGCAGTCCGGTCTTGGTACACTTGGCATTGGAGGAGTTCAGTTTGCTGTGTTTTCATGCTAGCTGCTCATTACATTACATGTAAGGGTGTTGGGTATCACATAAGTGTGGTGCAAATAGGTATCCATTCATTGTAGAAGGATGAGCCTTCTGAAATCTGTATTTCTAATTAACTTCCGCACATATGCAGACTCAGTGAACGAGTGGAATACTATGCTCTGATTCTGCAGTGGCTATGGGATATGTGGTTATGTCTGCTTGGTGATAGTCTGTATCTGAAATACATATACTTTTTCTTATAGGTCAGTTATGACTGAAGGGAAATTTAAGAAGAAAACGTCTAATCAGAAGGCAAAAGAAGAGTATGAAAAAATAAAGGCTGACCGTGCTAGGAAGAAAGAGGTAACTGAAATGGGGATCTTTCTTTATTGTAGACAAAGACTAGATTAATACATTCCTACCTGTCAGTCTTCCATCTGGACCCAAATAGCACTGTAGGCGAGGAACACAGGGATTGGTATTCTTTCAGTCATTTTCAACTTGATGGTGATATTCACACGTCCAGATGTTCGAAGTTATTCTCTTTGTTCTTACAATTTTTGTCTTGCAGTTGCCCTTAGCAGGATTTTATTATGTCAGAAAAATGTAGAGCTTGATCTGCATATCCCAGTGGATTATACTAGACCTCCTAAGTAGTGCAGAAGGGGAAGTAATAACAATACTGTCATCTTGTTATGAAAAAATGAAATATCCATCCTATTTCTAATGGTGTTACTGTAATGCAGTCTTCTTTTTACCTTTTTAGGTGCTTTGACCAACAGTGAAACAAGTAAATAGTATCCATAGCCAAAATCTGTAGTTATTTTCTCTCCTTCTAACTTAATGGGACTTATTCTTACAGGGCGTATCTTTATATTGTCATTGTTGAATAACTCAGTTGAGTTATTCATTTGAGACATCCTTATTTAACTGGTTTTGTTCTCTCCTAGTATATTGTTTGTTGCACTGTAAAATGGCAGACATTGTAACATTGTAGAAGTTGTGTAACTTGCTGCTGGCAAACGAAATTTCAGTAACTACTGTATGAATATTACATAAATATATAGCTGGATAAAACATATTATTTCTTCAGATTAGCTGTACCGAAGACTAGAGTAGTTTTGTGAAAAGGTGATCCGTGATCCTGGGCCAGTTACATCGTTGTTCACCTGAGAGCTTCTTTTGTGAATATTAGGTACAGATCATGCTAAAAGAAATGAATGTTACAACCAGCTCATTAAGAAGAAATAGGAACAAACGAAAATGCAGAAAGACTGCGAGAAATTTTTTTTGAGCAGCAGATAAGAGATGCCTGAGGGGAGGTGTTACCCAAATGCTAATAATCATCTTATTCAAGATATTTAGGCAAAACAAACAGTAGCTAAGTGCCACAATAACGATAATAATTTATGTGGAATACTGGTATGATGATCACATACTTCACCTTCATGTATGTTAGCAAATAGTGGACTTGCTGTTACTTATTTTGGGAAAATGTTACTTATTTTGGGAAAAGAAATAAGCTTAAAGGCACAGTTTTGGCCCCACTATATAAAAAAAACAAGGATCTAGTAGAGATCAGGAAAAAATATGAACAGAAGTAACAACTAAGTAAAATGAATGCTCTTGCTTTGAGTAGGCATTTGATTGGTAGCTTAAGTGGTTGTTGTTTACAACAGTATGCTGAACAACAGTGAAATTATTAGGTAGGAAGTGAATTACAGGTAAGTTAGAGTAGATGCTAGTCTGGTTTTAAAAAAAAAAAAAGGGAATGAATTATATTAATAATTGTTGCAGTAAAATAAGGGAAGCATTCTGAATGGAGAGATGTTGTCTTTACGGGTTTCTCCTACCCCCAAAGCCTCTTAAGATTTCTATTTAGAAATATTTTCTTGGGTTATTTCCAGTTAATTTTATATTCTGCTTCACAGAGCATTCTTACTAATTTTTGTACATCATGGAGGCTATCTATGCCGTGGAAAACAAAAACATAATTGATAAATTATCATCTGTTTGGGCATTCTGCAGAAACATCTGCCTTTGTGGTCAGCATGGCGCTGCATTTCAAAGAATAAGCTTTATGAGAAGAAATCATCTAAATGAACTGAAGCAGTCCTTCACTGTGATTTGTGATGTCTTGCATATTTTGGTAGGACATGATACAAGTGAGGCAAAGCTAGTTAGCTTGCTTGTTGTGGATGTTTGCCCAAAATACTTACTAAATTTACAACACTAGAGAAGGGGGGTGTAAGCTGTTTGATAAAAGCTGAATGTAATATCATGATGATTATCTGTATAGTGTAAGTCCCTCCATTCGTGTTTCGGTTGCGTATGTGCTGTTCCCTCAATGATGAAAGTTTGTACAGTTGAAAATTAGTTTGTTTTTTTTCCCCTCTCTCTTAGTAAAGACAGCAGTCTGTGTTGCTTCAAAGAGGACAGGTCACTAATAGTTTGGTCTTGATTAAGTTGCCCTAAGTAATGCTGCTTGTGGTGCTGTCCCAGTATCACAAACCTGCCCAACTGCCAGCTCCAGATATGTCCCATATCCTGTCTGCTGGATCCATGGAGATGTGTCCAGTATCCTAGCACATCTGGATTGGCAAGACATTTACATGGGGGCTACTGGATCAGACTCTTTCTTTCTTGCACTCAAGAGGAGAAAATGGGAAGTTTTTCCGCTTTGTCATTTAAGGAGAAAAGTCAAGGAGCTCATTTCACAGAAAGGAAGTTGTAGATATTTTAGCGACAAACCTTATCATAGGATGTTCTACAGAAGAAAACTTGGCTCTTCTCTTGAAGCTTTAAGCAATATAAATATGTTTTCATTGTAGTATGCGCTGAAAGAGCCTTGATTAAGCTTTTAAGAGTAATGGTGTTTCTCATGTCAGTACAATACCTAATTGCCAGTATCTTCAGATAAAGAAATTTTATGGCTTATAGATAGCTTCATAGTTACAGAAGGTACATAATTATTTCATAATCATATCTGTTTAATTTCAGGAAGCAGAAAAAAGAAAACAACAAAGAGAAGAAGCTCAACGGTTGTACAAGCAAAAGAAAATGGAAGCTTATAAAATATTAAGTAAGAAGACGAAAAGAGGACAGCCAAATCTAAACTTACAAATGGAGTTTCTTCTTCAGAAAATACAGCAAAATACATAAACCTCTGCATACATCTTAATTGCAGGCTTTGAGCTACCTATGGACATTTTATTAAATTACTTTTAATAAATAATGTGGTTTTGCTTCTATATGACTTTTGTCATTGTCTTGATTTATCTCATCAGTCCAATAGTGGAGGATATTCATCCTGAAAATATGTATTCTGTGCTGAAAGAGCGATATCTGGTACCTTGAAAATAAATGGTCTGTATTTCTAAACTTAACTTCTATTAGCTGTGTAATATCCTGAATTCCAAATCATTAGAGCCTAGTACCATCTGAATGTGAATCTACATAGTGTAAAGCATTTTTTCCCTATTTCTAGCACTTCCTGCAATTGTGACTAGTAAAATTACCTAAGTAAAATGATACATGTAACATACTTGATAGCTCATGAACTGCCATAGCTAGGAGTGTGGTTTTTGTGCTGTTGGACAGGGTTTGGCACATGAAAACAAATAACATAATAATACAAGGCATCCAAGTATAGTTTCTCCACAAAGAATAAAACTTACCAAAGGTCCAAAACTGGTTTTAATGGAGAGATCATGTAGATTTAACATATGTTTTGTGCTTGGTGATTTATACTTCAATGGTTTACTTTGTTCATAAACTAAGCATGATGTTTTAGCTATGATGGATCAGGTAGAAGGGTTGAGGTTTTGGTATACTGAGTATGTCAAGTTTCTAATATTTGTTCTTTGGAACATTTTTAAAAAAGAACTCTCTTAAATCTTGTTTTGGAGATAAAGTTAGTGGTCTTTGGGCTAATAAAATCAAAGCATTCTCAGTAAGACTAATAAGTTTGCAATAAAGCAAGTTAACTATTTTCCTTAACTTTATACAGGGTAATACTATTGTATTTCTGCCTTTCTCTCAGTCTACTTTGGCAGCAAATAAATAATACAGAGCCTTCTTTTCTGTATATCGTAAAGACTATTTAGACATCAAAGTAAAGAATGTCTTGGAATAAATTTCTCAGGGTATGCTCTGTAAGTTTTGCAATATATTTACAGTATTACAATATTGAATAGTTTACAGTATTAAATTATCTTATGTAGAAGTTGATGTCAACTGCAAAAAAAATCCTTATTTAAAATACATGGGAAAAATCAATAGTTTTGAATTGTATGTCAAGTGCTGTTAAATGAGGAATAGTTTAGGAGTTTGAGTAGTCTAAAATGTTTCTTTTGTCAGTATCCTGAGGCTTTTTCAACCTCAGCTTGTTAAAGTTTTTGCAAGGCTTTGAATCCTTGTACTGTGATGTCATTTAAGAAAAATAGAACAGGTCATAAGGTGCACCAACAGAAAATGTGTAAGCTTTTCTTGAAATAGGCACATTCATTCTAGGAGAGTAAGAGAGTGTAGATTTGACATGCTTATTCTGTTTTACACTTTTCCTTCTATATGTTTTTTCTGATAATTGCTGTAATTGCCAATTTTGAATGGTTTCATGCTGAAACATTAAAGAGCAGAAATCTGCAAAGTGCCCAAGAAAGTTTTGGCGTACACAGTCTGTTTTGCTTCTTGTCATTCTAGGCTATCAGCTTTTATTTTAAAAAATGCAAACTGCAACTAGTTGCAGTTACTAGGGCTTTTTTTATCAGTAGTGCAAAAGACTTAAAATGTTAGCTTCGTGTAAGTTGTGAATAACATGAAACGTCTTCCATGTGAATTCATGGTTGAAGTTCTTTCATATTTTTTATTGCGTGTCTGCTGGTCTATCTGATCTTTTATCAGATGCTTTGGCTAAGAAAATGTATTCTAAATTGTCATCTTAAAATGACCTCTTCTCAGTTTGCCATCAGTTCATTTATATACCTGCTGGGCAGATGTTTGCCATGATGTCAACTGCCTGGAAAGATTTTGGAAGTCTTAGACCAGTAATTCCATTGGTCAGTGGCCATCCTGGATTACTGATATCACTATAGATACTGGTATACAGTCGAAATAGCAGTATGCTTTTAGATATGGTGTTTTTCTGTAAAGCATTAGGATGAAGTTTGAATGATGCATGTGAAATCCGTATTTTTTTCTCTTGTGTTAAATTGCGTGAAAACTTAACTATCAAAATATTCCATATGCTTGATTTCTTCCTGGAGAATAGGCTAGGTAGTACGAGATAGTAAGTTAATTACCCTTTTGTTTTTTTCATTCCTCCTTAGCAACAAGAAGTCTCAGCTGTTGATTAGTGGAAAAGAACAGAACTCTGCTCTAAAAAGAAATCTTCATTTTTCTTACTTGCATTGTTCTCTGGTTTTGTTTAAGAATTAGGATTTTGAGAGAAATTCTGGATTCATTATATCCATGGTATTGGTCATTCAAATTTAATCTTATCTCATTCCAACTTCAGTTGCTGTCCTTCTCTTTAGTCTCTTTATTCCATGTTCTTGGTGATATTTAATATGAAACAGACCAGGTTTATCTGATTTTCCTAAAGAAGCACCTCAAAAGGCCTCCCTCTCCCTGCAGTGCTTCAGATAACCTGATCGGGCAGAGAACTTAATCAAAAAGCAGTGCGGTATCTGACCGTAGCCCCAGCATTGCTGGTTTCAGGGAGGAGAGGGAGTTTCTGTCATTTCTCCCCATCACTTTCGCTCCTCCATAGCTTTACTTGATTTGGAGATAAAAAGGGGCTATGACTAAGCCCAAGCTTAGACAGAAGTCTCTCATACCAGAGAGACTTCTTTCCACCAGAAGTTAATTCTTAAAATAACAGTTCTAAAAGGAAGAAGTTAAAATTACGTATTTCCTCATGCTGTCCTTTGCTGGTTACCACGAAGTAGCAGCCCAGGACAGTGGTCATGAGAAGCCCGGGCAGTCCAGTGTCCCAGCTGCTTCCTGAACCCACACTCCTGCCCTGTCAAACCTCTTAAATTAATTCAGTACCGCGGGAAGGCAGCAATGCAGCACGGATGTCGTGACACGGGGTGGCTCAAGGTCATTCAGGCAGAGAAGGGAATGGAACCTTTGCTTTCATTTACAGAGTAGCACTGTAACAACTAACCCATCATCTTTTTATGGAGAGAAGTGTGGAGAATGGTGGGAAGGAATGTTTTGAGGAAGGAAATAAAGGTCTAATTACTTTTTTGATCTGGTGATCACTAGGAAAGTAGTCCAATGGCAATTACACGAGTTTATGGAGGCTGCCTGTAAAAGCTGCTGCTTTCAACTGTATCTTTTAATTTGAAACATATGAGAAGTTAGTCCAGTGGGATATTAAACTGGTACTGGTTTTTATTAAACTTTGCTGTGAATATGTAGTGAAGATGTTGAAATGCGCAATAGAGGAGTATAAGTCCTGCTGCTGTTCCTTTTTTTTTTTTTTCCTCCAGTCACACACTCAAACTACTCACTTCTCTGGCAGTTTGTTTTCTGTTCTCTGAAAGCCTGCAGATCTCAAGTAGTTATGTCTTTACAGTACGTCTTCTGAATAAGATGAAGTGGAAGGGATAGGGCTGCACCGTGTGAAATTTTATTCTTTAAGTTGAATACACAGTGAATTCAGGCAACTTCAGACATCCCTTTTTTTCCTTTCATTATAGACCAGTGAAGCTGTGAATCAGAAATAAGGGAGGGAAGAAAGCATCAAGTACAATACATTCATTTTCTCTCTTTGATTCTGAGGAACAGAATGTGACGCTTCCCTTGCTCCTTTTGCAGGTAACTTCTTGGGAAATCGTAATAGTAACTTGAATGGATCATCTCGTTAAGCTGTCTTTGACAGTACAGGGACTTTCTCACCTTGTACCCATCTCAAAAGATATTTTTCTTTTGCTACCAATAGCAAAAACAAAACAAAACCTTTCATCTGTTAAGATACTAAGGCTTTGGAAATGTGGGACAATGTAGACTTTGAATATTTTTGTCTTTACAGCCTGATAAATTGTGCCTGCACTAAGAATTAGGTAAAGAACATGAAGTTAAAAACCTGATTGTAATATTAGTGTCTATTTCTGCTCTCACAAAGTAGTGTTTTAAATCATTAATCACAGAGTTTAGAAGCAGTTCTAAATGGATTAATGCACAGAAGTGTTGTGAGCATAAGAAAAACGGAAGGGGACTTCATTTAATAAAATCAGTGAGGACAGGACAGAGGTCTGAAATACCAATTTTCTGCAGAATTTTTATTAATTCATGCATGCCTTTTGGAAATTGCTGAGTGGGTAGTTAATAATGAGCTGAGAGCCATGCAGCTAACTTGGTGACTTTCCTCTAAAGAAAACCTTTATGGGATGTGAAAAAGGAAAAAGAAGTTTAAAGTAGTTCAGTCTGAACTCCTGGTAAAATAATTGTTGGTCCATCCATAAACCTGCTGGACCTACAGTATGCTGATTGCTCTAACTTTTGTGTATGCTCTTTCATGAACTTGTTGTCTTCCATGTAATTTTTAATTAATGGCAATTTGGATCATTATTTTCAAGTCTGGATATGTTTATATGCTTTCCCAAAAGAGAGATTATCCCCACATTTGTGTCTATTTTTTTTTAATATCGTGCTATCAACCCAGTTGAGGAAACACATTTGTCTGTTGAGGATCCCACTTTGCAACTTACAAAAGAAAATAGACATTATGAAAATAAACTAAGCTAGTTTCATGTTTTACTAACTTGTTCAGTGCACGCTTACTCACTAGATAATGTGATAAGAAGTGGCACAAAGATTTAAACTATCTATATGCAAAAATACTAAATTTTATTTTGTCTTCTAACTGCCATGAGACAATTTGTGTTACGAAACCCCAAGTGCTAAAAGCAGAAAGACTCTTTCCCGAGGGAGAGTCTCTGGGTTCCACTTGCAGTAGGTGCTCTGGGGCCGGAATCCAGATTAAATGGTTACGGCTCTGCTGCACCAATCTGCTTACGGGGTGCCAGAGTGGGTTGCGCTCCCCGTTGATGTGCTCCTCGCTGCATAAATGCAGTTCTTTGGAACTGAATGAGAAACAAATACCTCTGGTTTTGACCCTTGATAGTTGCCAGGTTATGAGAGCTGATACTGTT